TTTTGGGCAGAAAATTTACACGTGATGCACAGAAAAGCCACTCCCAGCTCTGACGCTGACGGGAGGAAAGCTACTTCAGAACTCCTGGTGCCGACACCCCCAGGCTACCCCACCGCCTCCCACCTAAACCGGGACATCCCACCCTCTCGTCATTCCTGTGGCCGGCCGCCGCGCCGGCCCCCTAGCAGGGGCGGCTCCCTCGGTCCAGAGCCCCGGAGAAAAGCCAACCGCGACCCGTCCTGTTTGCAGGGGCCCGGCTGACCCCCGCCCGCAGGTGGGAAGTCAGGCGCACCCAGGCTCGCCCAGCGTCGGGCGGGGCCTGGGAGCCCCGCGCACGTGGCCGTTGGGTGAGTCGCCTCCGCCGCTAACACGGCGTGCGCTTCACGGCAGCTCGCAGGTGGCTCCCTCCGCCGAGCGCGTGCTTTCCTCCGGGTCCGCACCCGGGGCCTCCGAGGAACAAGGACGCCCTCGGAAGAGAGCCTCGGGGAATTCGAGAGTCCGTGCCCTCGGGGGAGGGGGATCGAAGCCCCAGAGAACTGGGGGCCCCCTGCAGCGACTCAGAGAGCAGGAGCGAGTGCGCCCCCACCCGCCACCGGCGCCCCGTGGCCGGTTCCACCTGCCAGCGCCACAGATGCAGGGCGCCGGCGTGGACACGCGCCACGTGCACGGAACGCCACACACCACTGTTCTTCGGGGCCGTGCCCCACCCCGAGTGAGCGTGCGTGTGAATACACACATGCGGTGACATACACACACCGCGGACCCTGGAGCAGAGGTCTGAGCTGCGGGGTGCACGTCCACGCGGACGTTTGCAACAAACACCGGCCCGGAGCTGTCTCTCCCCCGGTTTCCCCAGCGGCACGTCCCCCGCTCCCGCTCACTCTCGGGTGAGACCACAGCGTGTGCCGCGCACGACGTAGGAACCCGGCGCCCAACCGCCTGCTCACGCTACCGGCGGGGCCTCCGGTCCACGCAGCCCAGCGGTAGTTAAGGCTTTGGGGAGTCAAACCCGAAACCCAGATTTCCATCTGCAGGGGCTTGGCGGCCTCGTTCGAGGGTCAGTTGTGTACAGAAGGACAAGCTAATTGGGGGGGTGGAGAATGAACGCAAAGACATTGGCTTTTCAGACCACGACGTACAAATTTACCCCAGGTACAGTGTGTTTTATGTGTTTCGAAGGAAAAAAATAACAGTTACTAAAACAATGGCGGGAAGTCTGGGGTCGGTCTTCTATCCAAAACGGCCTTTGAAAACGGTCTCGCTTCCTCTAAACGCAGACCAGCCCCACTCTTGCAGGCCGGGACACGCTGCGCCTCGGGAGATCGCCTGGTGACCTCTTCCAAGAGTCAGAGCAGAAGCGTCTCTCGCGAAAGGTTTGATTTTCCAACGGGCGAGGCGGACCAAACAGCAGGCCTGCACAGGCGGCCTCGGGAGGCGGTCTATAAATAGTTCTGTTTTGAGGAGGCAAAGAGAAATGCTCCAGTGCGTCCACAGGAGACGCAGATGCAAAGTACAGTTGGCGCTGGCACCACCCAGGGCTCCGGGGGGTGCTGACCCCCGCTCGCCCTGCCTGGTCAAGAGTCCTCGTGCACCTTGGATGCCCCCAAACCGAGCTGCGGTCGTCCCCGAGTGTCTGTGGAGGTGGGTTCCAGCCCCCCGCCCCAGGACGGACGCGCCGGGGGGCTCCAGTCCCTCACGCGAATGGCCTGGCTTGGGGCCGTGGGCGGCCTCTGCCTCGGCGGGTCCCCAACATGGAACCAGAGACGCTGCTCTCCGTGGCGGCTGGGACTCTGGAGATCCTCACGCAGCTCAGGGGCGCGGAGGGCGGTCGGCGTGTGTGCGGGGAAACCCACCCACGAGCGGACCGGTGCCGTTACTCTGAAACAGTTTGTTTCTCTGATCCTCAGACAAGGACACTCTCCCGTTGCTTTGAGAGAGAGAGAGAGAGACAGGTCCCTGCGAGAGAAGCCTCCACTGGCCGCCCCCCTGACTGGGAACCGAACCTGGGTTGGGGTCGGCGCTCCAGCCCGCCGAGCCACAGCGGCCAGGCCAGGGAAGCGTGGTTGTCCCTGAGGATCACCTCGAGGCCCCCAGCTGCGAACCCCGAGGGTTCTGTGCAGACTGCCCGTCCCCTCAGGGCGGGGACTAGAAGACGCTGTCACCGGGTGGCAGAGACTGATGCTCTCCAAGGGTCACCTCGAGGGGCTGCCCACACCGAGGCGGCTGGCGCCCCTGGCCTGGACGCTCGTGCGGGACCCCTGAGCTGTGGGTCCCTTTGCAGGATGCCCGGCTCCTTCCTTAAAGGGCCACTTCGCACGTGGACAGCACCCTGACGACCTCTCCCTCCTTGGGCACCGCGTGCACCCTCACTCACATGCCATCTCGTCCTCTTTCAGAGACGCCGCAAAACGAGTCGAGAGATTCCGCCGCGTCCCCAGGAAGCAAAGCGGAATGTTGGGCTGTCGGGTTTTCCTGGTGGCGGGCGAGCAGATCTATCCCCAGACTCTTCCGTCGCACAGAACGGCGGAGGGCGGCCCTGTGGCCACTTAAATATAAACAGAGCCCTGGTGCCCTGGGACCCCTTTTCCTGGAATTGCTGGTGTAGCTTTGCCACGTTTTAAAAAGCTCCCCGGCCCTGGCTGCTGTGTCCTGGGAACTGGGCACCGGCCTGCTCCACGAAGACACAGGGTTACACAGTCGGCCCTCCACCCACTGGGGGTTTTGAACCCATGGGTTCAACGAACTGCGGACGGAAAGCACTGCTTTTGGCCCATGTTTGGGAGTCCACGGTTGCAGGTGGTGTGCGCTGTGCTAGGCCCTGTCCCGTGAGGGGCTTGGTGAGCATCTGCGGACGTCGGCACCAGAACCAGGCCCCTGTGGCTGAAGTTTCGGGGAGTCAAAGTCAGGCACGGAGTCTGGGCGGTGGGGGGTCGGCGCCCCGATCCCCGTGCTGTTCAAGGGTTGACTGTATTGGACCGTGAGTCCTTCACACGTGACTCGGCTAAACCGAGAGCTGAAAATCGTGGAACCCCCCACCGTCACCGGTCCTGCCCGGCTGAAGCAGGTCGAAACGGCGCCGCAGCTCGGACCAAGTCCTCTCCCAGCACACAGCCGCTTCCGGGGCACAGCGCCACGCTCAGGCCAAGGGGTTCCTGGGGGCGTCTGGTCGTGGTTCCAGAACTGAGCCCGCCAGAAGCAGCTGTGCAATGATTTCACTTCTAAACTTTCCTAGATCATAGTTTTAAAGGAAATTTTTTTCTGCTTTTTTTCTTTTTATTAATCTTAATCTGGATTGAAGAAAAGCACACATTTCATTTATTGTCTGGATTACAGATTCTTATTAAACAAACCAGGGCTCATTATAAAATCAATATCAACTCAACCACCTGCCCCCAGGAGGAGCAGCAGAAAGGTCACCCCAAGAAACTCAAACAATTTTCCTGCTGAAAGGGCATGATTTTAATTTCAGATACTATTAATTAGAGCTGTCACCGGGATGATTTTTTCCCTGTTAATTATGACAAACTCAGTTCTAACCATGCATTTTTTGGGTCAAAATCAGCCATTTCTGCATGCGAGTCCAAGCTTCCCATTCTATCAATATTTTATCCTTGCATTTCAAAGTGTATCAAAGGGTGCGTGCTTCCTCGAACCTGCCCCACGTGCTCTGGCGCTCGCACCAACGCGGGAGGGAGCTGGTGTGATCATTTATTTATGTCCTGCACAGACGTGGCCCCGAGGACCCCGCCTCCGCCGGGCTCGGGCTCACTCCATAGAACGTCAGGGTAAATTCTTAGTGGTTTCTGTGACATTTTTCCCCGGCTCCTTCTTCAAACGCGATGTTTCCTTTGCTCTAAAGCGAGATGACGCTGGCGACTGAGACGCCGTCTCCCGGACGTTTGAAGTCGCCATTTCCTTATGGGGAAGAGATCGCCGTGACCCCCTGGGGAAACAGAGGTGTTCTCCATGCAGAGGCGGTGCGGAGCGTCTCGACGCGGGGCAGACAAGCTGCCTGCTGGTCTGGGTTCAGCGCGGAGGGACCCCCAGGGCCAGGGCAGCCCGGCGTGGCTCGCGGAGGGGCCCCGGCAGGACCGCCGGGAGTGTTCTCCGGGAAGGGCCTGTCCAGGAAGGACTCTGGCGATGGAGGAGTAACAAGCACCGGCTTACGCGGGGTTGTGAGATCTGACGCACTGTCTCCTAGACACATGACGTCATCGTCACGTGATCGGAGGAAAGGCCGTCTCATCCAATGGGAGGACGTCTTTGACAAGGGTATCTTGATTAGGCTTTGAAAACGATGATGAATTGAATTATTTTACTTTCCCACGCGGGGCACACGCTGGGAGTGAAATGATATTTTGTGTTAAGAGGGACCAGACGCTCTGACTTGCTGCTCTCGCCCCGGGGGCTTAGCCCCGCACAGGCCGCCACTGCGCATGGGGTGGACACCCCGCGTGGAGCCTGTGAGTGGGTTCGGTCTGTGCCCCCTCAGGTCTGGAGGGGCCTTCCTGGGCCTGGTCCTCCCTGGTCTCCGCCTCACCCGCTCACAGGCCACCGTTGCCATGGAGACGTGCGGGTTTACTTGCCACTTCAGCACCAGATTCCACTTGATCCAGACAGGAGCGGAGGGGCCGACCACTCAGGCCCAGGTCTTTTCACAGATGACACCCGGGAAGTCGCTGGTTTAAGGGACATCGTCAAACACCCCCACAACCAGAATGCCTTGCCAGGCTGGCATTTTTCATCACGCGTTGCCAAACGGAGAGAGAACAGATACCCCTCCCCCCAGTTTCTAATTAGCACCCCACTGCTGTGTACGCAGAGCCACAGCTGAGCAGCGGCACTCGAGTCAATGCTACAGAGTTTCTAACTGTGGCCAGAGAGGAACCCACACCGGGCAGAGTGGGAAGTGCTGGGGTGGGGGAGGGGCGGGGCGGGCGAAACCACCTGTCTGCTCCCCGAGGCCAGGGAGCGGCCGGCGGCAGAACCGCCTCCTTTACCTGGTAGGCCGCGGTGGCGTCAGGGCCCGGGTCACCGGCCAGGCCCGCAAGCTTCTCCTTGAGCCGCGAGTGGGAGCTGTGGCGCAGGCAGTAGATGAGACCCGAGGCCAGGAGGACGCCCGCGATGGCGGCCACGGACAGCAGGGTGAGCGCGACGAACTTGGTGGAGTCCTCGGGCTCCGCGCGGGGTGGCAGGAGCTTCAGTTTGCTTTTCTGCGGAACAGGAGAGAGGGGCCGGTTAGTACCGAGACCGGGGCTCCGTCCCGCGCCCGCCCTTGCCAGACGCACCGCTCCACGTGCAAAGCGAAGCCGTCCTACGCGCGCCTCGCGCCCTCCACCCGGAGAGCGCTTAGCTCAGAGCAGCTCCCCAGGGTGGCGGCGGCTACGTTTCCCCGGAAAGTTAGAGGCGCCGTTCTTTTTCCCTTAACGGTGGCGGTTGTTCAAACCGAACCGCACGTAGTATTTGATGCCTCAAGTGAGGCCAGGCGCCCACGCCTTCTTTTCTCAACAGGTGGGAGGGGATGCGGCTTAGCCCAAGCTCAGCACCTCGCGTTGGGGGTGGAGGGAACCCCGAAGTCAGGGACGCGCTGCGCTGCGCTACGACGGGGCGGGGCCTGGTCGTGGGTTCCGTGGGGATACTCTGGGTGTGGCGCCTGGGAGCCGCCACCCAAGGCCTCCCACTGGCGTCACCCTGCACACTCGGCCCTCAGCAGTGCCTGCGGACTCGGTTCCCGCACGTTCCCTTCAAGGGCCCCCAGGGCTTCGGGAACACGGGTGGGGGGCCCAGGGGCACACTTCTCAGGGTGTCAAGAAAAGTAAGGAGCTGGTGGCTATCCAACTCTCCTTGTTTTCTGGGCTGGGGTTGGGTGGGGGGGAGGGTCCTATATACGCATTTCACTAGTCTCCACGAGCGACCGGGGCCTGGCGCGCGCCCTCATCAGCTGTGTGGTCGGGTGAGGCTTATTAGCGACAACTGAAAGAGCCCCAGCAAGACGATGAGGACGCCTCGCCGGGGACCACCGGCCTGCGGGGCTGCGCTCCTGTCCCGGCGGCCACGAGCACAGCAATTAGCCGCCGCCTAATTCTGCGCCGTGACAAAATGGATACCCCCGCCCCTAGGATGCCCGGCCGCCGTCATGATCACTCCTGTATCGGGAACTTTCCACTCCGTGTTCGGCCCCCAGCTCTCCCTCCGCTCCGTCTCCGAGCGCACACAGGGCCTCCGACGGCAGGACGGGCCGTTTTATCTCGTAATCATGAAGGCCACCAGAGCAATTACCGCCGGTCTTGACTGGAGAAGCTGCTCATTAATTAGCCTCCTTTTGCCTTGCTGCCGAGGATTAGCCGGTGCCGGGGCTGAGTTGATGGAAACGCGGGTTAAATGAGAAAAGACGCCGCGTTTTCCTGCGGCCGGGAGGACCGCCAGGGTCTGGGCTGCGGGAGGCGGCGGGGGCGGGGAGGGGGCGGCGCGCGCAGCGAGCTGAGCGGCGGGGCAGGTGTAGCCACACGGGGTCCCGGCTGGCTGTCGCCTCGGCGTGGGGGGATCCCCGGAGACCCCTCCCCATCCCCGCCCCTCCCCCCAGCCACCCAGCGGCTTCCAGAGAGAACTCAAAGGCGGCCGGCAGCCCTGCTCCTGCCGCCTCGGCTCCCTCCGCATCCCATTCGCACACCGCGCGCGCGGGCGCAGCCAAAACCACACGAGTAACCGCAGGGACCCGACCGGACGCCGCGAGGCCTCCGCGGGCGCTGGGGGTCGCGCCCTTCGGAGGCAGCGGGTGAAAGGGCAGTGCCCTCCTCTCTTGGCCGAGGGGCCGAAGTGCGCGGCGAGTACGCGGGCCCCAACCCGGCACGCTCTCCGAGAGCACACTGGAAGCCCCGGGCGGGGCGGGGATGGGGACCGCGGTCGCGTTCCGGGGATGTGGCTGCCCCGCCGCCTGAGAGAGAGAGGCCCAAATTACACCTGAGGGGGCGGCGGTCTCCAAAATCACCGTGTGCCGCCCCGCCCCGCCGTCCGAGCCCCAGAGGGACCTCGGAGCCGAACCACAACAAAGGAGGCGGCGCGGCAGACGGGGGGGGGCACCCACCGCTCCCCGCTCACGGAGCCCCCTCCGGCCCCTGCGCAGGCCGCTGGAGGTGCCCCCGCTCCCACCCAGGGGTCGCGCCCAGGCGTCGGGAGGATCCCGCGGACTCAGGTGGTTGGCAGAGTTTGGGAAAGGGACTTCCTGAACCTTCTTGCCCAGCTCCGTGAGGCGCATAGGCGCTCGGTGACCGGCCTGGCTCCGAGGGGACAGGCAGTGTTCGGTGTGTTGCTGACGCATCACCGCGCCCGGGACCGTCGGCGGTCGCCCACGAGCGCGGGAGATAAAGGCCAAGAACCCGCCGCCGCCCGGGGCTGTGGGCCCGGGGCGGCCGACCACTCGCTGTATAAGGGGCACAGACGCGCTCCTGCTGTCGTGGGGCTGTAGGCGAGGCCACGAACACGCAGGGGCCGCACAAGGGACACACTCTGGGCCGGGAGCGCCCCAGAGGCAGCGCGGAATCTCTTTTCCAGGAGGCAGGCTGGCGGGTCCTCGTCTCGGGAGACCGAGTGTCGCCTGGAGCCGCAATGCACTGGGCCTCGGGGGGCGGGGGTCTCAGCGGAGCCTGCTGGGTTGCCCCTTGCCGGGCGCCGCTTGGAATTTACTCAAAGGTCAAAGAAAAATGTCAAGGAGAGTGACCACCCCAAGGGCTGGGGCCTCCCACCGGGGCCTCTTCCCTCCCCCAGCTGCAGACCCCCAGCGAGTCACTCCCGGAGTAGAAGGGGGGTGGAAGGAAGAGGAGGGGACCCCACACCCATGGAGCCTCCCACCCCCCTGCCTGGGCCTGAGTTGTCCCCACAGAGAGGGGCGGCAGTGGTCCCCAGGGCGGCGGCAGTCGTCCAGGATTAGGGGGAGGGGCAGTTAGGCCACGGACTTCAGACGCTGGGTCTGTGGCGGGCGGAGGTGGTCTGGGCAGCGGTGGGGAGCAGCTGGTGAGGGGCAGGGCCAGGTTGGACTGAGGGACCCACCGGGTCCCACTGGTCTGACCAGGAGGAGGGACTCTGAACCCCTGGGGGCCCCTCTGTCTCACTGTGTGGCCCACACCTCAGGGGGACCCGGAAGTCACCCCAATGTCCTGCCCAGCGCTGCGCCTCGCCTCAGGACCTAGGAGGTGCTGCTGCCTGCCAGCTGGGTCTTAAGAATCCCGGAAGAAACAATGGACAGAAATTCTCTTTTAAAAATTAAAGAGCACACACTCCCCTCCTTGGCACAGGTACTGAGTTTAGATAACTTCATGATTATTTTATTTCTTTTCATAGAGTTAAAAAAAACCCTTCAAATTCCTACTAACCAGGAGCTTGAAGAGAAAGAGGTGAGTTTGCTAACAGCTTAAAAGTGAGTTACACCCGCCTGCCGGCCCAGGTGTGAGGGGGGTGGGCCTCCGGCCCCTCCCCTTGGGGTCCCTGCTTCCCAGGGCTGAGCCACGGTAACTACAGGTGTTTCCCTGCCGTGCCCTCCTGGCGCTGAGCCCTGCGGAGCGCCCACGACTCATTAGAGGCATCTTGCCAGTCTGGACTTGAAATCGAAAGAAAATAATGTTTAAATATTTATGACTTTGACATTTACAGTCAGGCCTTGCTTAAGAGTGGGCACCTCCTGTCTGCCGCAGCCCCCCTCCCGGGAGGGGCTCAGGGTGTGTGGGGACCCCGGGTGCAGGGGACACACAGACAAGCACTTACTGCTAAGTGTTTGGATGCAGGACAAGGGTGACCTTGCAAAGAACCAGGAATGCGCAAGTCAACTGAGCTTCCAGTCGGGTGGGCCTGGGGAGGGACCTGGAGTGCAGAGCGCTCACTCCTTCTGCCCCGCCGCCTGCAGCAGCGGCTCCTTGACCTCGGAGGATAAAGTATCGCAGAAGCGGTGACTCAAAATAAATGTGACCCGAGAGACAGAGTGTGTGGTTGCTCTCAGACTCTACAGAGAGTGTCCTGACCCATTTAAACTATTTTGATCTGTGCTTGTAAGTGAAGGTACATGAGCTTCCCTTATATTATCTTCCGAGACATTTATGGTAAAATATCTTAAAAAAAAGTTTCAGCCATCCATCTGGTGAGTTTAAACGAAAAGAAGACAGATTAAATAAAAGGAAAAAGAACGTTCTACACCCAAACTTGATGGCGAGAACTGAGGCAGCCGGGCGGGCGGGAAACTGGGCGCGTCTGTGACAGGCAGCGAGTGGTGGCGTGTGCCCTCGGCCGAGCTGTGAGCTGTTCACAAGGCCCATTCCGGATCTAAGTAACTGACTTCAATTTTGAAACACGCTTGTAAAAAAAAACAAAAACAAAAAACAAGGTGTGGACTCAGACATTCAACTTCAGTAAGATTAAACTTCCAATGTCCTCGAATGTTTCATTTGTTTCCTTTCGAAGGAAGCTGGTTTGCAAACCTAGCCCTAGCCTCTGCTCCCCTGGAGCTGGGGAAGTGCACGTCCCGGGGAAACCCAGCTTTGGAGACTGCTAATGAGTTGCTACAACAAGTCAGTTTTTGGTCTCCCAGATGAACCATCTTAGAATTATTTGGAAATTTCATGCTGGATTCACTAAAATATATTTACTAAAACATAGTAACTGTGACCTCCAGGCTGATCAAAAATTTTAAAGCGTCATCAGCCCATGGGGGTGACTCCCTGAGAAAATATGGGAGGGGGATGTCTTAAAATATTTTAAAAGTATTTTTGAAAGCTGTTAACTATTTTAAATTTGGAATTCGCCACAGAATTCTAATAAATGAGAGAAGTCAGGCGGAAATAATCATGTATTAATTCTCTGCATTACAAAATCTTTTCAGAAGCTATTATCAGAGCAAGAGGCGCTGCGGCCTGAATTCCGGGTGGGAGCAACCCTTTGTGCGGCTGAAAGCTATTGTTCGTCTGCAGATGAAATTGTACTTGCTAATCTGCCATTCAAGCAGTCCAAAAAAAAACAAAAAAGAAAAAAAAAAGGAAAAAAAAGCCTATCTGGGCAAAAGAAAAGAATCTCCAAGGAATAATTATTCTTAAACATAAACTTTAATGAAAATAGGGGGGATACACTTTGTAACACAGGCTATTTACTGAAGAGTTTTCCAGGCACAGACAGAAAAGTAAGTACACAAAAGATAACAAATAGACCATTTCCCATCTTTTAGCACTCCTAG